TGGAGATTTATGTTGAGTCTCTTTCCTAAATTCCAGGAGACTGGAAATAAATCAAGCCCAGGCCTGTGAGCCCAGAGCCTCCTCTCTGACCCGCTGGGCCTGGTCTGATTTGGCCTCATCTCAAGCAAGACTTGTTCTGTTGGAGACTCTGGGGCCAGCCCTGGCACCCTCTGAGCCTCTTGAGTCCACGTGGGGACTGGGCAAGGAGGAGGTGGGGAAGGTGGTGGCAGGGTGGGGTTCTGCCAGGCGGCTCCCCAGCAGCTCCCTTCTGCCACCCAAGCGGGGCTCAGGGAGCCCGGGATTCCCTGGCACATGACTGGCCTCGGGCAGCCGTGTTCCCCACGCGCTGGGCTGCCGGGTCCGGAGGAGGCTCGCAGCTCCTCGATGGGGTGGCGCTGGCCGCCTGCCACGCCACAGGAGGCTGAGATTCCCCTGAAGCCCAGAGCTGCACTTATCTCTCACCAGGACAGAGAAACAAACCAGCACGCTCTGCCTGGGAGGCATTTCCAGAAATTTGGGCTCTGGCTGCTTGTTGGTGAAATGCCAGATTATCCAGGGCCTCTTTGTGGTGAGAGAGCCATTGAGCAATAGGTGTTTTGTTTTGCAGATGACAAGGTTTTCCACACTGAAAAGTTTAAATGATAAATGCAGGAACCTTGACCTGGCTCCCCCACCCCAGCATTGAGGTTGCTGGTTTGAACTTCAGTGCTTAGCCAGTTTGTTTTTCCCAGCTCATAGCTCCCAACTGAGGCAGGCCCCCGGTGCCGGAAGACCTCATCTCTCCTAGTTTTAGGGCCAGACAGGCCCGAGAGGACCCATGCCAAGTCCACTGCTGCAGGCCAGGGAGAAGCTCTTTCCTGAAGCAGACATTGGCAGGGTTGGTGGAATGCTTTTATAAATAAAGTTTTATTGAAAATACAACCACACTCATTCATATTGCTTATGGCTTTTGCACCAGACTTGAGTAGTTGCCCCTAAGACTGCCTGGCTTGCAAAGTATGAAAATATTTACTGTTAGGCCTCTTAAGAAAACATTTGGACCTAAATGTCATCGACAGATGACTAGACAGAAGTTATGATATAGTTATACAATGGAATACTACTTAGCCACAAAAAGGAAAAAATAATGCCATTTGCAGCAACATGGATGGACCTGGAGATTATCATACTAAGTGAAGTAAGCCAGAAAGAGAAAGAAAAATACCACATGATATCACTTATATGTGGAATCTTAAAAAAAAAAAGACACAAATGAATTTATTTACAATACAGAAACAGATTCACTAACAGAAAAACTTATGGTCACAGAGGGAAAAGGGGGTGAGAAGGGATAAATTGGGAGTTTGAGATTTATAGATACTAACTACTATATATAAAATAGATGAACAACAAGTTTATACTGTGCAGCACAGGGAACTATATTCAGTATCTTATAACCTATAATTAATAAGAATATGAAAAGGAATATATGTGTGTCCATGTATGACTGAATCATGCTGCACATCAGAAATTGATGCAACATTGTACACTGACTATTCTTGAATTGAAAAAAAAAAGAAAGAAAGAAAACATTTGGCAACTCTTGCTCCGGCGGGAAAGTAGTCTGCTTCATGCGAGGGAGGACAGGGACTGGGTCTTAGTTTTGGGGGAAGGAGTATTAAGGGCTGGAAAAGATCAGAGGAACAGCTCAGCGAGAACAGATCCCGGAGAGAATGAAGGCAGGCAAAGAGCTGCCGGCCCGAAGGAAGAGAGACCAAGGGCTCTGTGAGCTGCCAGGTTTGCCAAGGGACCTGTGGCCACAGGTCAGTAAAATCCCAGGACGCCAAGCCACCGTTGCCCCCCTCCCCTCAGTGGAAAAGCACCAACTGGATGGTTTCCTCCTGCAGCTGGGAGGCTCTGGATCTCCCCACCTCCTGCCACGCATGCATTCATCAGACTTGGGCAGGTGAGCTGTTTCTGGTACCAGGTCCTGTTCTGGGAGCTCGGAGAACACCAGGCTCCAAGGGCTCATATTTGGGGGTGGGGCAGGGAAGCAAAAGACACAGCAGTCACCCGAAAAATAAGATGAGACCACAGCACTTAAGGGAAAGAAATAAAATCCTGTTATGGGGCCCAGCACGGCCTTTCTAGGGGAAGGCAATTTTGGGACACAACTCAGAAGGATAAGGGGGTGGGGGTGGAGGACACTTGTAAGCAGATAGAAGAGCCAATGCAAAGATCCTAAGGCGGCAACATGTGGGGGGAGTTTGAAGGGTTGGAAAAAGGCCAGGCTGGGGAGGCGCCCCAAGTGGGAGAATAGAGGGGATGCTGGTAGTGGCCCTAAGGCTGGTTTTGTGCTACCCTGAGTATCTAGGCTACATTCCCTACAAAACAAGAACATGCTACTCAAAAACAGCTGATCAGCCCCTCAAGTGAAACCAGCATAGGATAGTTTCCCATCACTGAGGCGGAAGATGGGTTGGCCAGCCGGTTGCCCCATCTTGAGTCTGCAGCCGCCCTGTGTTGGGGAAAGACCCTCACTCACAAAGCAAGCTGGGGGAGGAGGGGCCTTCCTCTTACACTGGCGTGATTTTCGGTTCAGGGAGTGAATCACAGATAGTGAGGCACGGGGCCCTTGGCTCAGGATTTCCTGGTGTTTCCTGCCTGGGAGAGCAGCCCCGCTATCAGGGTCAGCAGCCCACCACTCCCTGACGTCAACTCTCCTTGTAATGAATGGGTTTCCTTTTCCGTTTGGGAAGACACGACCTCCGTCCTCAGTCCATCAACCCTGTCATTCTCACCCTGGCACCTCCTGTTTGGGAAGAAGCAAGCAGACTAACGAGAAGGCAGTGGGTGAGGACAGGAGGGTGACCGGAACTTGGCAGATGGGCTTCCGAGCCACCTGGGGTGGGGTGGTTTCAGAGGACAAATGCTTTCTCCTCCAAGGTCATCAAGGTATGACCCAAGAAGCCCCAGCAGCTGTAGCAGTGTCTGCCCAGATTGCCTGTCCTTCAAGCAGCTTGTGGCACTCCCAGACACACTTTCTGGGCCACCTGTGTTAGCTGAGGCTTTCTTCTCTCTTCTGCTTATTCTCACTAACTAGCTCAGATGAGACCTCTTAGAGGAAAGAATGTTTGTGCTGTCATCATGTAAAAATGTAACCATTTCAAAAATTGCTCAATCTCCGAAAACCATGGTTTAAAATTTTTGCAACCTCTAAGTGTGCGTGTTGTAGGGCAAAGTCAGTAGTTGCTTCATTCTGGTTGTAGCTGTTTCAAACCGGCCACGAAGGCCAGTGGTTCCCAGGGTGCGGCTTCAGAAAGGACTGGGGTCATTGCCTGCTGTTTATACTTAATGCAAATATTTACAAGTTTAACTTACCAAACTGTCCATATCTCTGTGTGCTACTACAGCTTACTTTAGATCAGAAATTCCCAGTGGGATGGTATTACGACCATCTCACTTCATACCTCAAGCAGTAAAGCACCACATGCAAAAAGCGGCCAGCTCTTTTCGGGATAAGTAGGATGCTCCTGTGGTCTATGTGGTACCCATTGCTCAGCATCATAGTGCAGCCATTCAGCAATTTGACCCTGCAACTGCCCTGTGCCAGGCACCGTGCAAAAGTGGAACCAAGCAAGGCGATGGTTTCGTTCTAGTTCCTGGAAATTAGGCAATTGGATGATTCACCACTTCTAACTTGGAAGAGCTGAATCAAATTCCACCTTGTGTTTGTAAAGTTCTCTGAACTTAAAGGAAAAATTGAAATCTGAAACACTTACTGATTTTATGCAATTTGGAAATACTTTTTGTTTTTTGGGGGGGTAATTAGGTTTATTTATTTTTTAGTGGAGGTACTGGGGATTGAACCCAGGACCTTGTGCATGCTAAGCACATGCTCTACCACTGAGCTATACCCTCCCCTACAACAATTTGGAAATTCTTAAGTAGCAACAAATAACCAAGGTTACCATTTTGGTATATTTACTTAGAATCTGTCTGTACACACACTTTCCTTCCAATTTTTAACAAGATGAAATAAACTCTATACTATTCTGAAATTTGGATTTTACATTTCATATCATGAAACATTCTTCTGGAATATAATTTTTTATGAATGCATGGTCTTCCAATATGGTGATGTACCATTATTTAACCAACTCCCCCATTGTTGATTGCTTCTACATTTTTGATATGAACAATGGCTGAGGTAAACAATCTTGTAGGAGACGTATGATTGATTTCCCTGGGATAGTTTGGTGGACGTGGAATTCAGAATGTTTTGTGTCCAGCGTATCCATATCCTTTTAACCTCACAACTCACCCCCCTCCAGTAAGTTGGATGTAATTATCTCCTGCAGCTTTTCTAGTTTCAAAGGCCCAGCTTATGTGGCTCCTGCCAAGGAACTACATGTTACAGATAAGAGTCATCCGTCCTGCCTCTCTGAATACTGCAACGTTTTTCTTTAAAAAAAAAAATTGGCTACAAAAAATGTTCTTGGCTATGGGGATGAGCTCTTTCAGCTTTTCTGGCTAGGGAGCCTTACGTTCCCATGGGCAGGTTACAGCGTGTGTATGCATTTGGGCGCATCGGGTGGATGGAGGCGACTTCACTGCACCTGGACTGGGTGAGCTGCTCTGTGCCCTGGAGTTGCAGACCCGGGGCTGACAAGGTGAAAGATGGTCCTGCCTGGGGCCGGTGGGGATTTTCTGTGCTCCGTGCGCCCGGGTGAGTCAGCGGTCACTCAGTTCTGTACAAGCCCGTCTAACACCTTAGTGGAGGCCTCGGCCTGTGGGGTCCAGCCTGAACTCGGTCGGCGGGTCTGAGAGGTGAGGGCTCCCTCCCGCTTCCCCCATTCCGTATAGAGGCCGAGTCAGCGTCCCGCTCCTCCGCGGCCTGGCCCCCGGGCGCGCAGCACACCTGCGCCCCACTTGGCGGGAAACTGAGGCTGCGGGGCGGGGCCGCCTCCGCGCGCAGCCCGCCC